AATAACAAAACGTGTGAACTTGGCAGTAATCAGCGAAGTTCGCCTCACTGTATCTCGCTGTACGATGATGATGATGTATATATAAATCAAGCATAAAAAGTCGGTACTCTCAGTTCTAAAAATCAGTTGTAGCTGATTTAACCCTCAGATTTTGTTTGTTACGCCTAGTTCTTGTTACTCATGTGATTTGTGGCGGGCAGGAGTGGCGGAACACTACGGGAGGCTGAGTGATTTCACATATTGTTTTTAGGTGGTTTCAACTCCAAGGTGGCTAGGATGTGATTTTTAATCGGCTTAGATCGGCGATCCTGGACACGATAGAGAGAATGCAGTGCTTGATTCTTACTCAGATTCGATGAGATTTGAAACGCGGTTACGTGTAATGGTCTTAGTTACGCCGGTATTTATCCAGGTATTCAGCCAGGCCAGATGATGTTCCCTATATCTTGTAGATAGACACCCCTTTTTGCGCCCCGCTTACATCGATCCACAGGAACTTGTAAACTAGTTAATAAAATGAGACTGCAGAAGTAGGAATCTTGTCCTTGAGTTGCGAACACAGGGTAGAGCTGCACGCGACTGCAACACGCAATTTTTGGTCTCGGTGTTGCAACGGGGCTAGTTGTATTTCATTTACTGTGTGGTTTTTATTGCATACACTGGTATGATGAGAACTGTGAACAATGGAATTTACCACAGTGAAGGCCTTTTCACTCCAAAATAACATACTTAAGACATTTCCTTACGTTGGCTTGCTCCTAGGAGAGGATAACCGAGCTTCAGGGATGTCCCGAATTGCCGCACCCCTCGTTCGGTGGTCTGGCAATTGCCGTAGACGCAGCGGAGATCAAGGTTTTCTGTATTATTGCGTACCGTACGTAGATAGGTTTTTAGTTGGCCACTGTGTGAACAGCGCCAGTTCAAGCAGGGAGTTGGTGCCAATGCAGGTTTGTTAAGGTCGTTGTCAGAGTCACGAAGTATGTGACCCAGCCATTGTAGTCGCAGCCGTATAAGATTGAAACACCGTCTTCTGACTGCTTAATTTATAGACTGACTCCTCCATCGAACTCTCAGAATGAATATCATCGGTGATCGAAGATTTCTAATCGTCGGGTCTTCGACTCTGAGTGACCAGGTTTCACATCCGTTTGGCAGGACAGGACGGTCCGTTGCGGAGAAAACTCGTATTTTTGTCTTTAGGCTGATTCATTTCTTCTCCATAGGGAATTCTTCAACTGTAGAAACGCTTTTCTTGCAGCATCGACGCGCACTTGTACCTCGTCTTTAGCTTGGCCGTTGGGGAGTGTGGTTGAGCCCAGGTATTTAAAGCTTTCGACGGGCTCAGCGTTTAGTAGTAAAGCATCTTCTGGATGAGTTGGGACTGTCGCAAACGTTTTGGTTTTTGATGTATTCATCTTTAGATCGATCTCTGAAACTTGTCTGATGTGGTCAACAATTGGAGGTTGGACATGTCCTCACCGAAGACGACAATATCATCAACGCATTCTCATTTGGGGAACCGTAAGTTTGGAGAGATCTGAACTCCCTGGTATCCTTCCATCGAAAGACCCATTATCGAGTCAACGGTAAAGTTGAACAGCATTGGGGACAATGGGCACCCCTGTCGCACTCCAAATCCTAACTCGAGTGCGCATGAATCCTCTCCGTAGATGCAGATTCGGGCGCTAGTGTTAGAATAGTAGGATCTCATTAAGTTGACAAGTTTAACTGGGAGACCGTCGGCCAGAATTATGTTTCAGAGAGAATTGCGACCTACGGAGTCGAATGCCGCACGAAAATCAATGAAGCAGACTGCTGTGGGCTGTTGAAACTTTTACCGATGTTCCAAGAGTCAACGTAAAGTGAATATTTAGTCGCCGCAGCCCACACCGGGGCGGAATCCCTTCTGGCTAAGACGAGTGCGTGCGTGCCTTGTAGCAAAGCGGTTCAGCAAAGGTTGTGCAAAATCCTTGGTCGCCACGTCAAGTAAACTGATACCTCTGTAGTTTTCTCACACCGATTTGTCATCCATTTTAGGGAAAGGTAGTAAACTTGGTATGGTCCAATCATTAGGGAAAATTTAAGTTTCCCAGATGGCACACAATAAGCTATGAACAGCGTTTAAAATGGCTGAAGAACACTTTGCGTAGATTTCTGCGGGTATCCCGTCCTCACCGGAATATTTCCGTGGCTTGGGATGGTCGATGATAAATGAGACTTCTACTGATGGCGGAGTGCAGTTAGCTTCGTATGGAGTAGGTGGCGACGAGGACGCATACGGAAGTTGAATTTGAGGGCGATTGAGAAGAAAACTAAAGCGTTCTTTCCTTGCTCATCAGAAATGAGCTCGCTGGAGGCGTTGCGCAACATAGACTGGTGATCTGTTTCTTTCCCGATGCTGATCGAATAAGTTGGAACAGGGTCACCATGTTGCCAAGGTTGGCTACTGCCGTTTCATTCTAGTAGTTGCATCTGTCGTTGCTGGCTGATTGTGTTGCTTGTTGTCTGAGGCCACGATAAGAAGTCGATTGAGCTAGGCGTACCTCCGGCCGCTTTAGCTGGCTGGATGGTGTAGTCGTATATCCAATCCTTCAGACGACGTAACGCAGTGTTTGGTTCGTGTAGAGCAGCTTGCTGTACCGAATTCAGCCTGGTCCACTGAGTTTCAACCGAATTTTCTGTGCTTCCTTGCGTACCGAGAGGATCAATCGATAATTTTTTTATTGGACACATTTGTGTGATGAACAACAGACGGGGTGAACCCCGTACTCACGAAGACCTGCTGCTCAGTGATAGAAACCGGTAACCCAAGTCCCGGGACTTGGATTGGCGAACCACATAAGGCCCCAATAGGTTAGGCGTGGCATTTAACCGAACGACAGCAAAGCTGTCGGCCAACAAAGTTGGTAGGCGGTGGCGGGTATTGAACCTCTAACCATGGGGGTCCAAAGCACGCTGGTGACAGCGACTAAACCACCGCACCATCACCACAAACCACTGTGCTACCGGAATGCAATTATCATGCCCATCAGTACCTGGCATTTATCGCTGTTATCCAGTGGATGCACAGCTAGGCCTTTTGTGGGAACGGTCTTCATGCGTTTGCTAGATGGAGTCTAACTTTCGCGCAAACTAGCACGTGATCAGATCCGCTTTTGTTCCCGCATTCAGCCCCGCGATGGGATCGACAGTCTTCAATCGAAGAAAGCCATCGCCGCGATGGGATCGACAGTCTTCAATCGAAGAAAGCCATCGTGAATGAATGAAAAGGTAATCTAACTGGTGTGCTGTTCGTCTGTCGTTAGAATACCACGTCAGAAGATGCTTTTTATGTTGAAGCCGCGTGTTGATAATAAGCAGTCGGTTATTATCGGCTAAGTTGAGCAGTCTGTCACCATTCTTGCAACGCTGGCCCAGGCCAAACCCCTATTCTGTGCTTTGTGGCTTATTCTTGCGGGCCATTTCGAG